AATAGTCTTCTTTTTATCTTTCTAAAAACTTCTGTAATAACTACATACAATTTAATGTCCAGTAAAAATTACTTCAGTTTTTAATATTATGGCAATTAGGTAATAACATACAGCCCAGGACATAAGCTGACCCCAGAACAGGAATAGCAAATACCAGACAGGCAAGAGATCACTCCCCACACCATGTCCCTGGCGGGTCCCGCTAGTCCACCACAGGACCTTCCCTCCTTCTCAACCCAGAGCCCTGGCTGCCACCTCCCCCCACTGGAGTTGGCACGCACATTGACACCTGCTTGCCACAGATGGAAATCTATCACAGACTTGTTTTTTAAAATAAATCTATGATATAAACCTCCTCCCTTGAGTCCTACTAAAGTAGAGCTTCTATAAATCTAAAAATTTTAAAATATAATATTGCACGACTGATTGTTTATGTATGCAGCAGGCAATGTACAACACTCTGACAATCCTAGTAACACCTGCAATATTATTAAATAACCAAGCAATCATGCATCTAGACTGTGTTCAGTTACCTGTTTGCTTTGTGCAATTATCTTTACTATGGCACCTTTTATGCTATGAAAATAATATGTAATGTACACAAATTAACAAGGCAGGTAATATAAAAGTTTCAAATCTAAATAATTTGTTAAAATGTCATACTGTTTTGGGCATTATAACTGTTTTAAACTGTTTAGGATATAAGTAAAAGGAGAAAAGTCTAATTAGAATATGACAAAAAAATAGGGGCCGGCCTGGTGGCGCACTGGATAAGTGCGCCGCTTGGGAAGCGCGGCGGCGCNAAATGAAACTATTAAAGATCATCTTTCCATGTCCCTCTTCAACCAATATCAGGCTACCTCACCACACATTACAACTTCCTGTCCTTAAAACAAAACACAAATGCACCTTTAGTTGAAGTCAACGTTAAATGACCTAACCTTACTGAAACTGCGCATAAAATAAAATTAGTGATTTTACCCAAAACACTTAAGATTAAAAACAAGATGAACTAAAAATATTTTAAATGTTTATAAACTATATTCACCTGATATATTTTTACCTGAGTAACCTGAGTTCTGAATTTCCCAGATTAATTTTCCAAATTAGATCTATACTAAAATTTCATTGATATATCACAGAATTAGTATGAAGTTTAAAATTATGCTGTATGTAAGACATAATTACAGAATTATTATAAGATATGTACCCATTATAATTAAATTCTGCACAAAAATGACAACCTTAATTATCGAAAATGAAAGGAAACAGCGGTAATACAGTAAATTAAATTTAATAGGAGAAAAGTCATTTTGTCCCAAACTATGACTCTAAAAGTATGTTTTTAATAGTCTTCTTTTTATCTTTCTAAAAACTTCTGTAATAACTACATACAATTTAATGTCCA